GGGAGGCACATTAGTTGGGGAGGCAGGTGGGTGGGTTGTGGGTGTGGTAGCACTGGGAGCAGGGGCTCTGCCCTGCTGCTGCTTGCCCAGCTGGTGCAGGGGGGAAAGTGGGGGCTGTGTGATGCAGGTGCGGCTCACTCCAGGCTGAAGGGTGCAAGCAACAGCAGGGCAAGTCCTCGCTCCCAGCACTACTGTGCCCACATCCTGCACCCCCCTGCGCTGGCAAGCACCAGCAGAGTGGAGTCCCTGCTCCCAGTGCTGATGTGGGCACAGCAGTGCTGGGAGCAGGGCCTATCCCTTGCTGCCGCTTGCCCCCTTCTGCCTGGAGTGAGCCATGCCTGCATTGTGCTCCCCCATGCTGGCTGGGCAAGTGGCAGCAAGGCAGAGCCCCCGCATCAGTGTTGGGAGCAGGGACTCTGCACTGCCACTGCTTGCCAGCCAGCATGGCAGAACACGGGTGGCTGCGTGCGGCAGCACTGGGAGTGGGGACTATGCCCTGCTGCATGCCCTTGCCCCCTTCCACCCACATCAAGCTATGCTTGCATCCTGCCCTTCCCCCCTCCAGCGAGGCAAGTGGCAGCAGGGCATAGCGCCACTCCAAGTGCTGCCGCGCCCACATCCTGCACCCCACACCCCAAGTCCCTTGACTTTTGCCCTGGCTGGGCAGCTTGTCCCAGCCCCAATCCCTCCCTCTCCCCCTAAGTTCCTTCCCTCACCACTCCCCGAACCCCAACAGACTTGTCAGCCACCTATTTAGTCTAGGGCCAAATCGTCAAATCTTTTCCGAATCTTTTTCTGAATTAATTCAAAGCATCCGAATAGATTCAGAACTCTTAACTGGTCTCCCGATTCAATTCGGATTTGGAGATTTGATCCCTGAATCAGGTCGAATCTCCTCCGCATCAAATCGGCTACCAAAGCTTTGCACAGCCCTAAGTATATATCTTTCTTCAAAGTATGGTATATTCTGCTTTAAATGAAAAGGTACCCAAACCTAAACAAACTAGTGTTCAAGTCCACAGCAGACTGGAAATACTGTTACAAGATGTAAGTAACCTAAAATGATAGGTTTGATGACCATTATTACTTGTTTTGGTTCTGCAAGTCTGTATTAATATGAACAGCACTATCAAAATTATCAGAAGGCTGAAGTTTTAAACAACTGGTAAGAGGCAGGTTGAACTTTGGGTATGTAAACTAAGGGTTACAGCACTGGGCAAATGAGTATTTTCTTTTAAACCCTCTTTCAGAAAAGGCTGGAAGCAATCTGGCATGTGAGAGGGTTGAGACAGAATAATGTCTATTTTTCTATTCTAGCATCTCTGGGCATAGTTCCAACAACGGATAAGTACAACCAGTCTAGGCTTCTACTAAAATAATCAGCAGTGAATAGTTAAAGTTGATAGTTAAAATAACCACGTTTCACAACTAGCACCTCATTAAGATATAAATGAAAGCTCAGATTCTATGGCAAGTATCACACTCCCAGAACACACAATGAACTATGTATATCGCACCTGGCACAAAGTGCTTTATAGATAGGTTGACCATATGTCCCAGTCTGACCGGGACACACTATGATTCTGTAGCCCTGTTCTGGCTGGTAGGTCAAAAGTCCCAGACCTGAGTCTGGCAGGCAGGCAGCTGGGCAGGCTCCGCTGCTCCTGCGCAGGAACAAGACAGGTGGGTGGGAACAGGTGCACCCCACCCACACATGGCACATCCTTGTTCCCGCACAGGAGAAGCAGTGCCTACCCAGCCCTCTGCCTGGCACACAGTGTCATTCTACCTCACCAGACTCTGGCCCAGAACACTTGACAAACTGGCCAGGACCAGGCTACAGAATCCTGGCAGCCAAACCGGGATGTATGGTCACCCTATTTATAGACAAGTTACTGGATATGCTACCTGTCCCAAAGGCTTGAATTCTCAATTTGCTTTCAAATGGATCTGGCTTCCTGTGTGCATAACAAGCTGGATTACTTTCAGGTAATTTTTTTTATTCCTTTTATTCTTATTAGCATTGCAGAACTAACATGTCTTATAGAACTCTGCAGTACTCTAATCTGGTCAAATACAGAATTGTTAGCCAAGCAGCCAGTGCAGGGCCAAAATCTACTACAAGCTACATCTGTGATACTGTTTTACTGCAGTTGCAATAAAATATATGATCGTAGGGATTTGGCCCCCACTGTTTTAGATCCAGTATAAACACAGAATAAAGACAATCCTTATGGTCCAGGAGCTTGCAATCTGACACAAAAATGCTGAAGGGTAAGAGGTGAGGATGCAACATACAAGCAGATAAATATGGTGATGAACTAGCACAGCTTTAGCTAGTTCCACCTACTTTAAAGCTGGTACAGCAAAAGCTCTGATATCTGGCACCCATGGGGAATGGCAGGTGCCGGATAACCAAATATGCTGGTTACCCAAGAGGCCCAAACAGGCATCTTTGCCTTTTTGGGCCACCGCCCCTCCCGCTGCATCCGGCGCGCTGTCGCCCCTCCCTGGTGTCAGTGTGCTGACGGACAGGGAGGAGGGTCCCGCGCAGTACACTTTGCCCCAGGCCATGGGGGCTCAGCAGCACAGGCTTCTTTGCCCCGGGTTGTGGGGGCTTGGCGAAACCGGAAGTACCAGGGTTTTGTGTGTTTTTATTCTTGTTTTTGTTGTTTTTTAGAAACGTCTGCTGTCCATGGAAGCTTAACCTTTCATCAAAAATGAACTCCCCAAACCAAAACATACTGCAGTGGCAATACCAAATCAGAATGTCATGCAAATTATAGTTCAGCCCCATGTCACCATTCATTTCTGTAGGCTGGGTTTCCAGCCAGATTATCTCAGCAGTACTGGTTTAACTAATTCTTGATTGCGAGAACAAAAATTGGACTTAACCAATATATATATTGCCACAAATTCTATAGCGGATAATAGTTTGAAATCAGTAGGTGATAACTGGAAGCTCAATTTGGTCTGCAAAACACTGGTGATGCATGAGAGCTAGAAATTATAGAACAATAAAGTTTCCAGTTCCCACTCTTGCAAACTCACTTAATCTTAAATACTGTTCATGGGCAAAAATCTTTTGCCATGCAGATTTTGATGAAACTGCTAATGCCAAATGAACCAAGAAACAAACCAGCATTTCTTGAAAGGTCACCAATAGTTGTGCCTCATACTCCTGTAGCATGATGGTGCAGGAGTACTCTGACCCTATTAATTAAAAGGTCTTGACCCTTTAATCACATATGAAACTAGGGGGTCATAAAGTGACCAATGACCCTTTCTCCAATGTTGGTTTTCTATGTAAATGGAATTAATAAAACAAAGACAATTAGCTCAAAGTGTCAGCTGAAGGTGTGCATTTTAGCTTATAGTATGGTGCAGTTTCGTTATAGCCATAATGGTTCAGAAATAAGCAAAAGCAAGGGTTTTTTTGGTCTTATCTTTTACTGCACCAACTGTATAGTTGGAAGTGAAAAGATAAGCTTTTGGTTACAAAGTGCCCTTCCTCAGGTCTGACCAGTAGTAAATTAGTTGCTTAACTTTGTATCTGAAGATGTTTATATTCAGATTTAGTTTCTAGAATGTATCTCAATGTACATTTTCATATCCATTCAATGCCAGTCCCAAGGTAGTGGAGGCATCTAAAAAAGTATAAGAGGGAAGACTATCATGGCATGGGCATGTTCAAAGTCGTCCAGAAGAATAATGGGAAAAGAATCAGAGAGTTGGAAGGGACCTGGACAGATCATCTAGTCCGACCCCCTGCCATGGGCAGGAAGGAGCACTGGGGGTGGGAGGGGTCATAAGACCCCAGCCAGGTGCCTATCCAGTCTCCTCTTGAAGATTTCCAGGGAAGGTGAGACCACCTCTCTGGGAAGCCTATTCCAGGCTCTGGACACCCTTACAGTGAAGTAGCTCTTCCTAACTACGAAGTTAGCAGAATGGCACTACTAGGGAGAAAGGGAAGAGGAAGACTGAAGATGAGCTGGAGAGGGATAGTGGAGAGGAACATGAGAGAGGAGGAGTTGGAAGAAGATTTGTATGACCAAAGCGAGAGGACAGCCAGGATCTGCAAAAGCAACCCTGTTTAGACAGGACAAATGAGGAAAGAAGTAGTAGTACTTTTTCATGTAATTTGGCATAGGTTCTTTTTATCATTCCAAACTATTTTTCTAAGACCTACATTACAAATTTTAAGTAGTAAATTAATCCCACATCATTAAGTCTTTATGCACTTTTGCCCTTTCCCGCACTTTCCCCCTTTTGGGTATCCATCTCTAAAAAATCACAGACATACAGATATATCATTCTTAATATTTAGTGGAACAGCTGGAAGATTATACATGGAAACATCTGAACTTGCAGGGAAGCAAGCACTTCCCCTCAACTACGGTCCAAGCTGAGAATAGAAAGAAAAGTCAAGAAAAACTGACAGAGCTGGCAATTTAGAGAAAAATTCAAGACAGATTATTCTGTGTTCTTCTCATACTGAACACAGGGACATTGTTTATGCCAGACACTAGACAGCACTATTTACATCTAATGATGGAATCTATATACAGCAGCATAATTGAAATCAAACAGGGATTCTCTCTTCCCTTACAAAGCTAAGCATTATGAAACTTACCCCTCAATGGAGCAGAACTGTTACAGATACTTACACAGGAATTGTTCCAGAAATATGAGAAAAGGATGTAACCACTATTAATCATGTTTAATTACATAATTATTAAGCTAAAGTGCATCAATTGATAGCTATTTATACTACTTAATTTAGTTACTGTCTTGTCAGTGTTGGTCACTACAACTATTTGAATTTAAGTTTATATTTATTCTTCACTCTACCTAAGCTAGTAATAATTCTAAGCACTTATATATTACTTACAAGAGATCTCAAAGTATTTTAGAGAAGTGAGTAAGAATTATATTCTACATTCTGAATACAAAGAAAATGACACAGATAATCTGTACAATATTGCAAATCAAATCAAAAGATAAAACTGGAAAAGAACAAATCTTCTGATTAATCAGGCAGCTGTCATATCAGCTAGACCATGATGTCACCCATACTAGTTAGAGAATGTTTAGATCAATTCCTTTAAAATGAAAAGCAAAATTATTTTTTCCATTTTATTTCTCTTTAAAACACTTTCTAATAAAAACACTGAAACAAATAATCAAGGAGATGAGATGATACTGGTGGCTGATAGAAAGCTATAAAACTGTATGAATTAGGGGAATATTAGTGTTCAGTGACTTAGGAAACAGAGAGCCAATATAACTTGCATTTATTACTGGGATAAATAGCCTCTCAGTACTGGAGTGCAGTCAGAAAATCAGATATGTAAAAATCACAAGAGCTCTTCAATCTTCAGTACTGTAGCTCAGTTATGCAGGCTACAGCACTGAAAGAAATTATAGGTCTATTGCTGGAAATGCAACCCTGATGTTTAGCCAGTTGTGAAATTAAAATATAAATTGCTCCCTTGTCTTGGTTATCTAAGAGCATTTGTCCATCTAAGTGCAGCTGCATGGGAGTGACTGCACACACGAAAAAAACTGATCATAAAAATTACACTGAAAATTCACTACAACAGTTGAATAATAAACATGGCCCACACTGATCTGAAATAATACTACCAACCACAGATGCACTGCTTCAGATAAGGAAAAAGATGGGGGGATAAAAAAGAAAGACAAGGAAATTCTGCTAAATGCTTAAAATTAATGACATTTTCAACATTCTATAATCCTACTTTCAAGTGAATCCGATTAAAAATTACTGCTGCTCATATAAAATTGTAAACAGCTAGAATCTAGCACGCGATAAAGTAAAAGAAACCCTTAAAATTCCTATCAACAGTACTGAAATACACCCTGGATTACTATTAAAAAGTGAAATGGTTAAACCACCCCACCTCCAAAAATAAAGATTAAATGGATTAAACATAGCATGTATTTGTCAAAAACACGCAAGTGCAAAAACCCTGCCCACGGCCAGAGCAACATATAAATCTGCAAAATCTGAATGGTATGCATTCTAAACTGTGCTACCCCTACGGGAAGGAATGCACCTGTTTTTTCATCCTTGCAGAGAATTTATCCTGAAAAAAGTAAACAATAGCTCAATAAAACATATTCACCACAAGCAATTATAGTATTGAAATTTATTTCAATTTCCTCCTTAATCCTTTTTGCCAACATTCTAGCTCCTTTGTTGGTAAACCTTCATCGTAACATGGGGAACTGGGATTTCACAACATGGAATATAACGCTAAATATAAAGTAAAAAGGAGATATTTCATATTGCTTTACTAGCAGGAAAAGGGAAAATTTAAAGAGACTTATGAGGCTACCTTTTTATTTCTGTGTCCTGCTTAAGATGTTCAACATTTCTGCTAAAATGGGACAGACATATCTTTCCTTTTGTTATCTCGATAAGGTGAATCTTAGTGGCAAACAACTCAGTAGAGTTAACATGTGTTGAGAAGTCAGCTGGCAAAATTTTTGGAAATACAAAATATTTCTTTCCCATAGTTAGACATAAAAACTATTACATGCAGAGTTATCAAAATGCTTATGGAGAAAACCAGCCACAGACAAATTTTCTTCTTGCATGTTGAACAAAAGGTGCAGAATATTGCTTAAAGTCAAATGATCAAACAGTTTCCTAAAACACAGAAGCAACTTAAAAAAACTCTTACAGGTTTTGAAGAGATTAATTCTAAAGTGCTCTACTCTGTTTTGGGGAATTTAAACCTTCTGGGTCTTCTATCTACAAATAAATTAGATTAAAATATTAAATACATTCACTTTTTTGGAATCTTGATATAGACTTTATAATATGATGTCCTCTGAGTTATGAAAGCAGACCATAATTTGGATGGAGCAACAGTTGGATAGATTTGCTTAAAATAATAATCAGTGAGAAAGCATTTAAACTATGTATAAAGTACTAGTATTAAATATAAAGTAAATAATGCACCAAAGCTCTCATAACACTTTTAATACAAACATTTCCCATTAGAATACCATAGAAAAAACATTTTCAAAGGAATATTAGGACTTCCTTGATAATTTTTCCAGCTACTGTTTTTTAAGTTAAAAAGATGGCTTTTCAAATCAGTTATCACTTACTTGATTGTCATGTTCATTATCTTTAATGACTAAGTATCTCAGTAGATTTAGTGCTGCCATAATCCTGTGAATTAGAGATGAACAATCATTTTGAGTCCACATTTACAGTAAGACAGTAACTTACACTGTTTAATAGCCATACATCTTCTGAAAAATGTATATAATCTATACAAAAATATGCCATTTATCTGTTTAGTAACACAAAACAACCTAGTTCTCCCCCTCCTTCCCCCCACACTGGCTTGAGAATAGAGTCAGAGAAAGAGCTGAAGCAGTTGTGGAGCGGTTCACTCCTTGATATAGAATAGGACAATGATATCATCCACACTTGAGCTCTCTCATGCACCCCACAAGGGACTTTTCTGTAGCTTCCTTAGTTTCAAGGTAATGCAATCATAATTCCTTTAATAGATAGTGAATTCAACTGAAAGAAAAAAAACTAGCTAATTTAAATGACCACTCCTATCTAACACACTGTGGGCATGTCTACATGTTGCCCTGTGGTGACATTGTTACTGTGCCATGCGCAGTAACAACCCGTACTGTGCTGTGCACAGTTAGTTTTAGCTGATACTTTGCCGTAGTGGTATGCTAAAGCAGGGGAGTGCACTGCTATGGCAAAGCAGCTGCTGGTCACATGTAGACTCACATGATCACTATGTCACCACAGCACGTTATACAGCGACGCAGACTGACATGTAGATGCACCCTGTTTGTTGTAATTATGTTGGCAGATAGTCAAGATGGCAGCTTCTTGTTCCATTATTAAGGATAGATACTGGCAGTTGTAAAATTATATTGTGTACTCCACGCAATTACAGGAGTTGCAATTTATTTTTAAATAGAAACAGAACAAACCAAAGAAATCTCTCCTGATTTATTCCAATTCTGATTTCATCTCACCTATCTGAGCTTTGGAGAAGATCGGTTTCAGCACCTTCAGGAAGAAAGAACACCTCATCAAGAAGGGAAACGAGCTGGTGTCCAGTAAACCACTTATTGTCTTGTCCTCTCTGAGAAGCAATACAAAAATGCAGAAAGTTAATTAAGTTCAAAACCTGCAATAATTTTGTACAAAAATGATTACACTGAACATGGTCTGAAAATAAAATCAAGATAAAGAAAGATGAACTCAAATTACCCCAAGCAATCAAAATACTTTCATCTCTTCAAAGTCAGATGTTTCCCTTCCTGACTTTGTTTCCCTTGCCTAGCTGTCCTTTCTAGTCTTATCAAAACCAGAAGGTTCTCTTCTGATTTCTACTATTCCCACCCCCACCTTACAGTGTATGATTTGAGTCTTGTAATGCTAGTAAGCCAGTGTGGGGAAATGCTACTCTCTTCACCACGTGGTTTAAACATGTTGCAGCACAACTAAGGAACCAGGAATCACACCTGTTAGGGGTGCAATGATAAAGATTTTTTTGGCCGATACCAATGGCTGCTTATTAACCAGCCATATTGGTTAATACCAATCTGATAGACAATATGCAGCCCAGCAGCTTGGCAAGCAGCACCCAGCCAGTAAGCCTGTGGGGGAGAAGGGGTGTGGGGAGTACATCAAGGCTTCAATGGTGAGAGAGGGAGTGGGGTTAGGGCTGGGGTAGCCCATCCTGTAGCCCCATCTCCCAGTGCTGCTGCCACCCACCCTGACCATAGCCCCAGCCCAGCCCCCCCACTGGGAAGAGGCCAGCTCAGCCCCCAACCCACAGAGGGCAGCCTGCCTTTGCCCCGCACACAGATCTGAGGGGCACATGGCCCCCAATCCTCCCATGGGGATATGCACTACAGCAGGAGCCACCCTCCTCCCCACCTCCCGTGCCCCCCAAACCAGCCTACTGTAGCTCCACCTCATGCCCCAACCCAGCTTGGCAGCACCTGCCCCAGCCCCACTCCCTTTCTCTGTGTGAGCCTTCATCTGCCCCCCCCAACACCTCTTCCCCCCCCACGAACTTACCACCCAGATGCTGCTCTCCAAGCTGCTGGGCTACATTTCTGGCTGCATGCATGTGGCATTTATCAACGACATTACCACATGGCCAAAAAAAGCCGACTGCCTATAATATTGATTTTCCTTTTATCAGTGCCAATACACTATGGACCAATATACTGGTACACCTCCAACACCTGTATGTCTTATTTTGTGTGTACAGTACAGCACAGCACTAGGTCAATCCCAGAAATTTCTTGCCTATAAATAGGGTGACCATACATCCCGGTTTGGCTGTGACACACCAGTCACAAATCTGAGTACGAGAAGTTTGTGTCTAAATATAAACTTAGGATTATAACAGAGACCTGATCTCACAAATACTGAGCCCTGGCACAAACTTCATTGCCAACTCTGCAAAAAATTCAGCCATGTCTAGTTAGCCACCTAATTTTACCCACTTTCACTGAAAAAAAAAAAAAATGGATTATAGCAACTACAGAAACCTTCTGTACAGTCAGCAACTGAACCCAGATCTCCTGCATCCAGTCCAGGCCTTATCCATAAGACAATTTTTTCTGTCCTTTGGATAAAAAACTGCAGAGATTCAAATTTCAGCACAGAAACAATATCCTTTTGATAGTAAACATAAGAAAGAGACTAAACATAAGAAACTAATGCCCCCAAAGTACTTTTAGGGTAAATCACTGAAAACAGAAGCTTGGAATGAAGCAACCACATTGGTCAAAAATTATATTCAGCAACAAGAAAATTTCATGTCATGTCATGTTCAGTCAGGTCACAGCATGTGTGTCTAACTATTTTTTAAATATGAAGGACAATGAGATAGAGTTAACTATCCAAATATCAACACCATGCCCATGTAAAAATCAGAAAAAAAAAAGTAAATTGAATCACTGTAGCCTTAATTCTGAAAGAAATCCTAAATGAAACCAAAATATTGAAATAAGTGGCAACATTAAAACCTAAAAGGAAATAATTCTCTATTAGCAGATTTTGAATATGACAGAAGAATTAAGGAATTATAAGGATACAACACAAAACTGAACAGCTGCTTGTTAAAGTACCACTATCCATCCTACAAACTAAATAAGACAGGGACCCCATAGAAAAATTACCATGCAGCATATAACAAACATTTATACACAAAGAAACCAAATAAAGGCACCTCTTAATTCTGGCATTTCCTGATCTCAGTGCATTACTTTGCAACCTTAACTTCTTGCTAATACAGTATTTTGTGAGTAATGAATAATACAGACCTTAAACAATACATGTTATTTACAAACAGTACTGAAAACACTTTCTGAAACAGGAACTTTAGACTAAATATGTAAATATGCAACAGACTCACCTTTAATGACAAATCAATCTGATTTTTTATATTCTGAATAACATATCCTTCTACACCAGCATGGTTACTTGTCTTTAGTAAACACCTTTAAAACAAAACAATATAAAATAGAGACAGAAAGTATCTACCAGGCTTCAGTACACTTATTTTAAATTTAGGTAGAATCCTGGTTTTATTCATGTCAACGGAAGTTTTGTCACTGATTTCAACATGGTTTGGATTTCACCTCTAATCTTTGGAGTAGTATGTAAGAGGGCTGTTTTCAATCTCGTTTTTAGCATAATTAAAAAACTAAAATCAGTTGCAGTTTTCAAGAAATAAGTATGTTCTAATTAACCTGAGTTACCACATAGCCATCATAATTTCATGCTAAGCTACTCTATGTTTACTATGCAACAAGGCAGACTTTTGTGAAATCTTTTGTATATACTGAAAGCATACCTGAATAATGTGTATTTTCCCTCTGTGTCAAACTTGTCTATATATAATTGTAATACATTTAAGCTCTTCTTTCTCTAAAGGGAAAAGACTCGTATTAAGATATTTGTTCTTAATTAAATTGTAAAACAATTCAGTACTCAAAACCCACAGGATAATCATTACATACCAGATCCTCTATAGGGCACAGGGTCATCACTTTCACCAAATCCTGCAGTTGAAAAAGAGTGCATGAAGTTCGGTGTGTACCCAGAGAATACATACCATGCAGAACTGACTAAATTCAAGTCTTCTTCTGGACATAAAATCCAAGAAGGTGTATACAGAACTTAAATTTACAAAAGCAAAAGGAAGTAAGGCTGAAGCTGCCGTTTCATCCTAAAGCCAAACTATTAGATATAGGGGTACTGGAGGGGTCTCAAACTGAAATTAAACCATCTTACAAATGTAAGATATGCAGTAAGGCACAGAGGGCAATGTCACTGCTACATAAATAGCAAGATATTTTATGTACAAACATAAAAAGGACATTTTATACTATAATTAGTTACTAATAGAAGAATGAGTCTAAAATTAATACTACCGTACTTTGGAAATTAATTATCTGGAAATGCTTAAGCAACTCCACACCCAATACAAAAAGACAAGAATCATCTAAGAATTTGTAAAAACAATGAATTTTTAATGACTATTTTAAGAGCATCAATTTCTATTCTGAAAACTCAAATACCTTTACATAGAAAATAAGACTGTTTGTGTACTTCTGAAATGATTCTGAACTCTTACTAAATCCTGACAGAACTAAAGGAATCTCTCAGAAAAATGAATTGAACATAAGAATTAAATTCTAAAGAAATTTTGAAAAAAAAATGCTACTACAAGGTCAAGAACAACTAGAATCCAGCTGCATATGCAGTAGCAGATGATCTGAAAATGCTGACAAGCAATCCCACCCAAGTGCTGAGACAATGAAAAGATGATGGCAGCCAAGCTTCTCATATGGGCTCCTTCAGTTCAGGGGGGAAAAATACAAAGGTATAAATTTTCAAGTTGAGGATGTAAATGAGAGTGCTCTGCTCCCATCTCTTAACTTCAACAGCAGCATTCATCAATAGCACCCTTGTCCAAGATCAGCTGTCCGTGTTAATACTGTAGCAACCAGACAAACTAAATGCAACAGCATCAAGCAGCAGCAACTTTCCAATACAGCTTCCCAAGGGGGCAGATGCTGTTGTAGGTGGCAGAAGGTCACAGCCAGGCAGCAACTCCTGGTGCCAGACTCCTGCAGTGGGTAGAAGGTGCAGGGTCCATGCTACGTCAGGGCTGCTACAGCAGTCCAGCTGGCACAGGGTGGTAGTGTCCCCATACACCAGCTGGTTGGGCCTCAGAAGCTCCTGAGAGCAAGTACTTCTGGAGCTGCTTGCCAAGGTAGATTTCAGGCACAGGCGCTGGCACCAGTCTTCAGCTCCCATTCATTTCAACTTTGCTTTAGCTTTGTTAAATGTTTTTTTTTTAAAAGCTTCCATTTACAGAGAATAGTTTTCAGACACAAGGTTGAAAACTTGTTTCCAACCCTACCCAAATTTATACCAAATGACTAAAGATGGAATTCTTCATCAAAATGCTTCATATAAAAATTGAAATGCAGATGTATGTTAATTTGTCTTTCTGTTCTCTCACCTCTTCCTCATGCTGCACAGCTTTTTTATGGAGCAAGTGTCACATGCTACAACTGGAGTTAGGTTCTGAAATTTGTTCTGCTGAGCATGCTACCATGGGGTAGTGGCAGGGAGTCTGAGTGCACTCTCTAATGATGGAAGAAGGATGTTAGTATAACACGTTTCTCAGGATGACTAGATATTGCAGGATCCCTGTCTAGCTAATGATTCTGGATAGCAAGGGACAGAATGATTTCAAAATCAATCAGAATTTACATTATACGTAAAATAATCTTTTATTAATCAAATGTAGACATTTCTCTCAAACCAGGAAAAGAGGTAGACATGGCATGTGTTATGATTTAAGGACTTGTTCATACTGCATTCTATTACCTGTGATGCTGTAATGAAGTTCCTGAATTCTAAATACTGGTGCAGAAGACTATTACTGTCCAGTCTCAATAAACAGTTTTCAAATAGATCCTACACGTGAAAAAAAGACATTTTAAGGATAACACAATTTTACACTGGTGTAACACATTAATCCAAGGTATGTGAAACACATGACAAGCTTATACTTGTGTGCACATCTAGTGTTCCTAGATGGTACCATAAAACAAGTAGAAATAACAATTTTAAGCTTTTCTCATATGTATGAAGTTAATCAAACACAAAAAAGAGTTTGCAGCACTGGAGTATATCTAATTAAACCTTATGACACTTCTGAAATTACAGTATACATTAATGGGGACTAATCTTTTCAGCAGGCATGCCACAAATTAGCTTCACACCTTCCCAAGTACCACTCTGATCCCTTTCCCCTACCCAATCTACTGCTTGCTTTCTGCTCCCTGTCCTATGTTTCCTGTCCAAGCTTCTGCTCTGCTTTCTGCTCCCTGCCTGGTCTGATGCTCTGCTTTTTGCTCCCTGGCCTATTTGCCCTTGTGCTGCCTGACCCCTCCCCAGTTTACTGCATGCCTTACACAGAAGCTACCCATGCCACTTGTGGCATACAAGCCACAGATTAGCCACCTGGTGTATGTTATGATCTTAATCTCTTACAAACAGGGAATGAAGGATATACCCTCCTACAAAGAATAAATATACAACCAAACAAAACAGAAAACAAAAAATACGCACAAGTCCTTTAGCCAATATGGATTCTTCTGTCCTGAAAGAAATATAGATATTATCAGTTTAAAAAAATGTAAATTAAAAAATAATCTGTTAATCTGTTGCAGAATCAGATAAAACAATACAGAAGACCTTTTTAAAAAAGGAATTTTCCTCTCACTAGTTCCTATTCTGCTTCCTATCATCATCTTTTCTTAAAACAACTAATTTAAAGATACCAAGTTTAAAAGGCTGTAGATTTGATTCCTCCCTTTGAGGTCAGGAACTGATATTTCCTCTCAATATATACACATGCTCAAAGTCAAACAGGTATCAAGACATTAAATAAAAGAAAACAACAAAATAATCTAGGAAAAGTGCCATCTTCAGTCTTCTGCATGCTTTTTGCTAACAGGAGGAGGGAAAGAGAATGAAAAGTGTATGCCAAGTTGTAACAAAGCACAAATGGAGTTTTCATCTTAGCTAGGAGTAACCTGTGAAACATTCTTGCTTGCCTGATGGTAGTTATGATTTATTCTTTGCAGGCTATGAAAATATTGACAGCCAAATGATCAAAACACTTGTGTAGATCTGATTTTCACTGGCCCAAAATGCAGCATACTATGGGGGACAGCTAAATACTTTGCTGGTAACCTTGCTCCATACTAAACTATGTAATTAGTTCAGGAAAATTATTCAATATACCAATACAGAAAATTTAAATGTTACAAACGATCTTAGTGTCACTTTCCAAAAACAGTTTTGAAAGCAATTATGTACAACAAACTTAAAAAATAAGTGCACTATCACACAACTGCCCTACAGTTAGGACATTTTATAACTCTTTGGAGAGAAGGGAAATCATCTTGTGCTGAAACCTGCTAAATTAGCCTTCAACTTCAAATACATTTTCCTGGAATTTGAAGAGATTCAAGGTCTGATTTATATATTACAAAATTAGATCAGAAAGAAACTGGGACAATAAAGGCAGACAAATATAAAACAAATACATTATCTGGAATTCCAAACATAATACCTACCTTTTCAATAGGACTTCAACATGTAACATGTTACACTGTAGAAGATAGGATGGACTAAAACAGAAAGTTATGTATAAATAAGATTGCAGGGATCATACAGCCTACATAGCGACATAAAAATATGCTCTATGTATAGCAGTAATAGCTATTACAAAAAACTATGAGAGCATGTTTTGGCTAAAAAAAAAATAACTCTGAAATTAATGTATTCTAGTCATTGTCATTCCCATCCCTATTGGCAAGATGGCTATCATGAACATATGTGCTTAGTTATAAATGTGAAAAATTCCCCTCAGCTTCTACTGTAGGACTACCCTTATATAAAATTAAGCATAAGCATCTGCAAGTCCAGTGGCTTAAAAAAGAAAGTCTACATACAAATTACATAACTGTGCCCTGAAAAGAATACAGGTAAGCATAGGCTTAAATAATAACTGGTGATTAATACACAGGGATTTGCTTCTGCTCCCGATTACCCTCTTCAGCACGGTTGGTCAAACTCACCCTGTCTCACAGGCAAGATTCAGATGTTGCTCACCCTGCCCCTGCCACATGGGAGTTAAGGCTGTCATTGCTTGTACCCTAGTGCTGACATGTCCCCCCAAAAGGGCTCCATACTTGCAATTTGAACACCAGGCTATGCCCCCACTCACCCCGCCCACAAATTCCAAGCCTCCATGGGAACCAGAAAACAGTTTTCTGGACCAGATCTGCACACTTGACACCCCTGCTCTACAGCAATCACCAAACAGCTACTGAATACAAATGGAAAAGAATTAACTCTTACCTAAAGATCACTGGAAAGCAATCAATACCAATATACTGAACAAACACCAGGTATGATAGACATGCCAAAGAATCCACAGAATCATTTCTATCTATATCCAAAAATTCATTATTATCCCAGTTCTGATTGTGGCTTCCATGTGAAAATACTGCTGGTATGAATTCTCCTATATCCAATAAAATGCCCTGTAAAAAGAAAGGTCAATGACATAGAGCTGCTTTATAGAAGAAAAAAACCAATAATTTAAGTTTCAAACTAGGAGTCAACCCAAAAATGGTGAATATAATAAAATATCTACATACTGGTTATACATTATTCCTGAAAAATAGTTTTGTCTATATGTATATTTAACACAAAAGTAGGTTAAAGGAGTATCACAAAAGTTGCAAAGTCAAGCACTCAAAAGTTGGGAAATGACATAATTATGGTTGCCCTATGTAACCATTATTTGGTCCCTTCTGTATGTGCATTCTGAAAACATAGGTGCTGTGACCCCAATAGCAGCAATAATTATGCAATCAATCACATACTAGTATTTTCACAGGACCACTGCAGAAAAGTAATTTAATAGTCAACACTGAATTTGTTCAATACATGTCGTCACTGTTCAACATGTAATCCACAACTCAATTCGATTCAAACCCTGCCCCTAAGATAAAGTCATTAATCTCCTCACTTTTTTAATGCTTACTACTATAGCTTTTGAGTATCTCACAAATATTCATCCATTTTTTTTTCACAAGGTACAGTGAGGCGAGGTGATGCTCACCTCATAGAAAATGATAAATTCTCATTTTATTGATGCTGAGCAAGACAAAAATAGATTGAAGTCAATCCAGTAGTTCTGGACTGCTCAATTTGAACATCCAGGACCTCACTTTGCATTCTGCTGGTATTAAACACCCTTTATATGTTCAAAGCAGAACTCCCATTAACTAATCATAGTTGTAGATGTTTGGCATTTCTGCAAATCAAGTAACAGAAGCTCAAGTAAGACACCTAATAAATGAATATATAAAGCTACATTTCACCCGATGTCCAGCATCAGACAGGAACCATGTGGCAGAGACAGGGATACGTATGGTCCAATCCTCCACAGCAGTATTCAACTGTCTTAACCATGAGACCCCTCTTGTGGCAAGCCCTTGCCTCATTTATTACACACTTTACAAATGCAGCACTGGTCTTGCAGATAAGAATCTCCTTCATTGCACAACCCTGGCTTTTCTCCAGAGCAACTCCATCTTGTGCTCTGAATGAGACAAGCATTCTACAGAAAAAATAATATAGGACCATGTAATTGAAGATTGTATCACAATGTATAGACATGGAGGGGCTGAATTAAGTTTGACCAGGCAGTATCAGTTCTGGCATTTCCTTACTTTCGAATGCTTTATTTGGCAACACTTAACAAACAAAACAAAACCAGCCTCCCACAAAAACTAAAAGTCCCATGTTAAAAAAAAATTTAAATGCCCTAGATGTTTAAAACAAACTGAGGAAACAGAAGCTGCATCACCTGTAACATACTGACATTCACATGGATCACTAGCAGGGTTGGAACTTTTGAATCCACCATCTGAACTAACGCACTACTTGAAGTAGCACATTGTCTTCCTCTATATGGATCAGTGCCAAAGGACTGTCAGTGGATGTCACAGACAACTGATAAGAACAGAGGAATGGCAGGACTCAAAACTGGTGATTTCATTCCCGGTCTGGAGGAAAGTATTCTCTGGGCTCAGATTATTCTGTCCCTTCACCTCAAGTTTGACCCATTCTGTCCCATCCCTCCCATGTCCCAGTCCTATCCCCTCCCTATCTCTATCTCGTTTCTCAGTCTCCATTCCTCAGACTTCTTGTACCTGTCCTAGTATCTCCCATTGGACCTCAATATAATCTCTACTAGCCTGCTTGCAGAGTCATTACTATTCTCCCTTTTGTGGTTCCTCATATATACTCTCTCCCTTCACCCCATGCCTCTAGTCTGCAGTAGCCCTTACATACACTTTCCCTTTCCAGC